CCCTGCTTCCAAAGAAGATATGACAGCAAAAGGTAATTCATTTATAATTCAGAAAATGTCATTAGGCATCATATAAATATAACATTGTGTGCTGGGTGTTAAGAACACATGAATAAGTCAATCTCTGCCTGGAGAATAAATGCTAGGCAGAGTCAAAAGACCTAGATTCTAATCCCAAAATAGCTTCTGAGTTACAATGTATGTTCTCATGATGTGTCTCCAGTTCCCCAACTAGAAAAGTGCTTATATATTAAAATAAAAAAATAAATTATTAACTGCCAACTTTCATCTTTTTCTTTTTAAAAATCTAAAACTTCTGGAAGGTTCCTCTGAGGCAAGAATGAGGAAAGCATAAGCCTTATAGCTAGAAAGAGCAGGATTTAAATTGTACTTCTGCCATGACCTTAACTATCTGCATGACCTTAACATGGATAGTCTCCATTTTCTCACCTGTAAATGGAAAGAACCCTTCATAACATTGTGTGTGTGTGTGTGTGTGTGTGTGTGTGTGCACGTGCGCATGTGTGACTATCTACCTACCCAGGCATATAATCTTCAAGTAAAAGGTGGTAGTTGCTATTATTTTTATCAATACCACTAATATCTTTACTATCTAAACACTGAAAACCATGGGTAACACCACCTGACCACAGGACAAATGAAAACAAGATATGTGAGAACCACTGGCAATTTGGGGGCGGAGCAGTTAAGATGAATAATTTGAAGTAAGGAATAAAGACAAAATTTAATAAGGCCATAGAACCAGTCAGGGTGAAACATCAGAGCTCACATGAACCAGTGGTGGTTGGGTACAAGGTGTCACCCTGCCCAGTCCCCTACCACAAATCCAGAGACTCTCCAGTCCACACAGTCCCCTGCCTCTGAGCCCTAGCCTTGCCTGAGATTCTGCTCTGAACATTCTCCTGCTTCCGGGACATCTTGAAATAAGCCTTACTAGATATATACAAGATCTATACGAAGAAAACACTGAAATACCAGTGAGAAAATAGGACACATAAATGAACATAAGACATTATTAAACATGGCATATTATTATGTTGGTGGATAGAAAATTCAACATAGAAGACATCAACTCTCCTTAGGGTTATCCATTCATTTAATGTGATTTCAAAAAAAAAGAAAGATTGACTGAATATTTTCCCCTCCAAATTATAAGAGCGAATTTTCAACTTTATATGTAATAATAAACAAGCAAGAATAGTTAGGAAAACTCTGAAAATGAATAAGAGGATGAGTCCTGGCCGGTTTGGCTCAGCGGTTGGAGCGTCGGCCTGTGGTCCAGAGAGACCTGGGTTGGGTTTCCGCTAAGGGCACGTACCTCGGTTGCAATTTGTCCCTGGCCCTGGATGGGTCATGTGGGTGGCAGCCACTCAATGTGTCCCTTTCACATCGATGTTTCTCTCTTTCTCTCTCTCTCTCCCTCCCACTCTATCTGAACAAAAAATGGAAAAATGTCGTCTAGTGAGAGGGAAAAAAAAGAATAAGAGGATGAGACATGGGAATAGATGTAGCAAATATTAAAATATATTACTAAGCCATATTGTGTTATTGAAACCTCAATGGAAAGGGCCAATGGATCAGAAAAGAAAGTCCAAAAACAGACCATAATACATACAATAATTTAAAGCATGACAAAGGTGGCATTTCTGAGGGAGACAGATTATATACGAATGATATTGGGACAACCAAGTAATCTTACCTCCCATCTCATAAACAAAACTCACATGCACGCAAGTGCGCGCACATGTGCAGATTCTAGATGATCAAAGATTCAAAATGTGAAAAACTAAAGAGAAAATATTTTTATAAACAGTAGGGATGGCTTTTATAAACAAGGAAGTCATTAAATAAGCAAAACGCAAAACCTATGCCAAGAAATAATTTTTCGCCTATCAGATCAGCACAATAAAACAAAAAAGAAAAGTCATCCTACTAGAGAAAGAGCAGGGGAACAGGTACTGCTGAGGGTGAGGTACAGCTCTGGTACATCTCTGTGGCCCTAAGGGGAACAATCAGGCAACACCTATCAAAATTATGAATACATATTCCTCAAACTTCAGAGCCTACCACAGAGCCCTTTTTTATTATATTTACACAAGTATGGCGTTCTGTACAAGTAAGTACAGTTTATGCACCTTGTTTCTAACTGAGAAAAAGTGGAAAACATCTGTACGTCCATCAATAAAGAAGTGGTAAAAGACATTAGGGTAAATCCTTACAGTGAAATACTATTCAGATGTTAAAAAGACTGAGGCCCCTTTATTTGTACTGACTTGCAAAGCTCTCTAAAATAATTAAGTTTACAAAGCAAGGCACACAGCATGTGTAATATGTCTCATTTATATAAAATCAAGAAATATGTATGTCGTTGCTTCTTTATGCATTAAATTATCTGGAAGGATGTGTACGACAATGTTAACAATAATTGCCTCTGGAGAGGAAAATTTGAATGGAGGTTAAGGGAGGGAGGCAGACTTAAATTTTACTGTGTACCCTTTGTATCATGTGAATGTACTACCTATTCAAAAATGAGTAAAAATTTTTTTTTTAACTATTAAAAATATATAAACAATATGGTGTTACCTCAAAAAATTAAAAATTGAACTGCCATTTGACCCAGTGAGCCCACTTCTAGGAATATACCCTAAGAAGCCTGAAACACCAATCAGAAAGAATATATGTACCACCCCCCCCACCCCCCACCCCGTGTTCGTAGTAGCATTATTTACGATAGCTAAGACCTGGAAACAGCCCAAATGTCCATCATTTGACGAATGGATAAAAAAGCTGTGGTACATATACACAATGGAGTACTATGCAGCTGTAAGAAAGATCTCTTATCCTTTGAGACGACATGGAGGGACCTGGAAAGTATTATCCTAAGCGAAACAAGCCAAACAGAGAAAGACAAGTATCATATGATCTCACTTATTGTGGATATAATGAACATAACAGTCTGAGGAATGGGGTAGTCCCAGAGACGTGGAATGGGGTAGTCCCAGAGACGTGGAAGTGGGGTACAGACTGACAATCCCCAGAACAGGGGGTGGTGGGGGAGAGATAAACCACAGAACTTATATTCATGTATGTATGAACAAAGGTCATAGACAACAAAGCTGGGGACAGGGTGGGGAAGGAGAAGGAGGGGGGAATCAGTGAGGGGAAAAAAGGAGAAACATCTGTAACAAAAATAAGTTAATTAAAAAAAAAAAAAAATATATATATATATATATATATATAGAGAGAGAGAGAGAGAGAGAGAGAGAGAGAGAGAGAGAGATTACCCTTAGGGGAAAAGTATTATAGAATTCAGAGAAGAAACAATAAATTTTACCCCACATACATCACCCTCTCCACAGCCACTCTGCAAAACCATCCTAACTAACACAGCCTCTGAGCCTGGCCAAGCCAAAGCAGGACCCAAAGTTCTATGGCATCTGCCTTGCTTCCTCAAGAATCAGAACAAATCTTCTTTCTACATTTCTTGGAAGATACTGAGAAAAAGACATGGCTGATGTCAGAAAATTTAAATGTTACCCTCTGTATCAATGTTGAAACGAAAAGAACCAATCTATACATTAAAATTAATGAACTGGATAGAACACTGGAAATCTTAAAAGCTGAAAAGCTTCCTACATTCAACTTTATTTTCTGTGTTGGCAACAAGATGGCTAATAGAAAGAAGATAAAAACAGAAAAGATGAGAATATCTTATGCAAATAACAACCTTCAGCATTCTCTATTCACACAGCATGTGTTTCTTACTAGGTACAAATCCATGCATAGCACAAGCTTTACCCAAAACAAGTCCATATCATGCAGAACGCCATCCCATGACGAAGCCTCCCCAAAAGCCAAACTACCTACTAAGGCCAACTGGTGTTTTTTTCATTTCTGGAGTTAGTAGCTGCATCATGCAAGTTGGGAAACAGTGAATAAGAAATAGTATTATTTGTAGACTGAAAAACCTCGAAGGTCAGGAACCAATTTTTGGAGGTTAGGCTCAGGGAAGTCATGATTAGATGTATACTTTTCAGGGAGGGGGTAAAAAGGCTAAAATTTCTGAATCTTTAAGGAATCATCTTTCTTAATCTCATGCCAATTACTTGACTGATTAGAGCCAAAAATGGCAAAGTTATGAGGAATCCCATATGGACAAGTTTCACAGACTTGCCTATGGATGTAGACTGTTTGTTTGATGGACACAGGCTATGCCCAAAGCTCTATCCCACAGGCAACTGGTAAGCAATAAACTGGTGACTGATGTGGCTGCGTCACTGAGGGGTCATTTCCCACTACTAGAAACACAAATGAAGTCTGTGCCTACCAATGCTGGCTGGAGGCTCTCATTTCCTCATCAAAGGCAGACCATTTTAGGAAAGCAATTTGGAATATTTAGTCCTACCAGCACAAGATACATATACAGGGGGGGGCTAAAGTAGGCTTAGTTAACACAATACAATAACAATAATTAATAAGTAAATTAATAATACAAGAATAAACTGTTTCATGTACTCACAACTATAAATGTACTTTTGCTCACCCCGGTATATACTAACAAAATCCCACGCACACAGCTGGATGTGAAATGCTCTCTCCTCCTTATACAAAATAATGATTAAATGTGGCTGGAAATTTATATATACAAGGCACACTTTTTAAAAAGATTAAGGATAGTGGATGGTGATAGTCCTTCTGCTAAACAACTGATTGTTTGAAATACAACTTCCCCTAAAACTCAAGGTTCCTTTTTGAGTAAAAAGGCATGCAACCAAGTCACCAGCCTCTTTAAGCTGGACACAAGACATGCCTTGGCTGCAGAAAACACATCATTAGCAGTTATACATTTTTCATGCCAACAAATCAATAATTAACAAGAATAATTAAAGTCTGGATGGAATCAAAGCACAAGCTCTTTGCATCTCTGATGCAGACTCAAAAGCCACAAGCACACACATTGCCCCTTGGCAGGTTCATACCGCTGGACTTCGCTTGCTTGGATCTCTCTCGTTCCTGGACTGCAGACTTTGGCAAAAGTGGGGGAAGTCCTCGGGACTTGGTGGGTCTCATGTAGCCTTTCATCGGTTCTGCCATTCTTTTTTCTTCCTTTTTCCCTTCACCCAGGATCTTTGATTCAGGTTTTTCTGTCACTTTCTCAGGTGCCTCCAAGATCTTATCTTTGGGTTCTGGGAGATGAAGATCCTTGGAAGCAGTAACTACTAACTTATCTACCATGCTCGAAGGGGTAGCTCCTACTTGGCCATCTAAGAAATTTGATTGGAGTTCTGGTGTTGGCAAGGAAACATCTTCTAATTCTGTGATTTTAGAAGTCAGGCTAATTCCTTTCAATTTATCCTTTTCACTTTTTGGAGGCAAGAGTGTCATATCTACCTCCTTATTCAAACTAGCTGGGCCCCTGGACTCTCTACCTTCAGCATTTTGGTCCTCACAGAAATGGGGCTTTTGTGCTTTGTCTCCCAGTAAGTCAGGAATATGAACTGAAGCAGAATCTTCCTCAGACTCCTTCCTTTTGTTTACTGGATATGTTGGAAAATTACTCCTATCTGCACATACTTCTAGACCTCTGAGTTCACTTGGTAGGCTCTGGTCTTCTGTTGGCACTCCAGAAAGGTGCCCCTTTGCTAGTTCTGTGATTTTCTCTACTGAATGCTTAGATGCATCATTGGGAAGTGACTCAGATTCTCCTACCACATTCCCTCCCTCTATCCCTGCTTTATTTTTCATGGGATCAGCAAGCTCACCTTTATTCTTAAGACAGTTATCTCCAGGACTCTTCATGGATTCTATGGCTGCTGTAAAAGCCAGAGCACCTCCTCCTGTGCTTGTAAAGGGCGTAACAGCAGAGGGAGCCTTGGATCTTTCTTGATCTGGGACTCCATCTTTGCTGCAATTACCTACCACTAATAAATTGGAAATCTGGGCCGGGGCTGTCTCTTGCCTACTTTCTGCCAAGGTATCTGGAAAAGAATCACCTTCCTTTACTAACTGAGGAGTAGGAGTGGGCAGTTTTTCACAGGCTGCTGAATCCAGAGCCTTTAGAGGGTCTGACTTATTCATTACCTCTGGTAGTGTTCTGGGGCAGGTAAATGTAATATTTCTATTTTCATCCACATAGCCCATTCCTTCTATTCTCTGGTCTCCTGTGGCTTCCATGGGAACATGTCTTTTTGTTGCATCTGTCCTATTCTCTAAAATGTGCTTCTCAGAAAAGCTATTTTTAACCTTTTTGCTTTTTCCATCATTACCCTTTTTATTTGGTTTGTCAGTCACTGCAGTGTGCCCCTTGGCTGCATCTGTCTTATGCTCCTCAGGCAGTACTGAAGGAAGAAGTCCTGCCCTCTGGATTTGGTCTTGGCAGCTTACATCTGTCACCTTAGTAGCTGCTTCAATAACAGCAGAATCCTTGACTGTGGCTGTTTTGTTCCTACCAAGAACCCCAAGCTCAGAAGAATTAACCTCACCAGTTCTATCCTGTCGGCCAACTATCTCCACTGTAGGTGTATTCGATGTCTGTGAGAACAAAGGTTCAGGATTTACCGGGAAAGTGAGTCCTAACTCCTTGTTTTGATGGGAAGTGCCACCAGCACCTCCACCCTTCCCTACGAGGAATGGGCTGAGGACTTCTTCCTTGCTCTCTACCTTAGCAAGCTGTGTAGAATAATTATTTTTAAACTTTTTGTTTTTGCCTTCACTGCTTCTTTTTTTAGGCTTTTCAGAAATCCAGGGAGCTGACTCTTGACCCATCCAAGGACACTTTCCTTCCTTGCTTTGGTTACTGACACCTAGATCTATGGCCACAGATCCTCTTTCTGTCGTAGCACCAGGAGTCTGAGTCACACCTGACCCAGTTCCCAAAGAAATCAATGCCTGCAAGGTGCTTGCCACACTAGGGTCAGTAGTCTCCTTAGGCTCCCCCACGACCACTGCCTCAGGAAGATCAGCGGTGATTCCCGGCTTCTTGGAAGAATCCAGCCCCAGCTCCTCACTCTTATCCACAGCAGCCATTCTTTCTGTTTTAAGGGCTGGTTCATTTGGCACAAGGACAGCTCTGCCATCCCCCTGGCTGTCTGGAGAGATCGGCAGCTCAGTCCTTGTTCTTGCCTTCCCAGAACTCACTCTCACTTTTCCAGAACTCCCCCTTCCCTTCCTGCTTTTGCCATCACCTGCCGTTCTCTTAAATGGTTCATTCCCTGGCCCAGGAACCTGAACTTTGTCCTGTGGTGGCTGCTCAGAAGCTAAGATGCTCATCTCTTGTCTTTGCTCTGGAAAAGCTTCCTTGTTAAGTTCTTTAACATCTTCAGTTACTTCAGAGAACTCTTTCTGTCTGTCAATCTGCAGCTTAGTCATTTTCCTTTCATCATTCTCTTTTTTCAGACTACTTTCTAATGGATTACTTGTTGTCAAAGTGGGTATCGAATTAGGCAGTTCTTTTGCTGATGTGGATTTTAAAACTTCCCCCATAACCTCTTGGTCCAAGACAGGAAAGCAACCCTCTTTTGGTCTGACCTCCAAAGGAATTTCTACTTTGTGTGCAGAAACTTCTGTCAGGGGCCCTTTCAGTTTGAGAGAGCCTGCCATCTGGCCTTTATCCCCAGGAGCCTCCGGGTGAGGAGCGGTCTGTGGTTTGTGTTCACCTTGCTGCAAAGACTTCCTGTCTTGGCTCTGTGGTCCTGACTTCATACCTTTGACCTCTGCCTCTCCACTCCGCTTGAGCTGAGAATTTTCTGCAGCTTTCGGGGATTCTTCCAAAAGACTCAAAGGAACACTGAGGCTTTCTGAGACCCAATTCTCAGCTGCCAGTTTGGTTGTTCTGGAGTCAAGTTCACATTTCTTTTTCAGGTTTTCTCTGGATGTCAGTGAATATTCCGCACCCGCAGTGGTAGAATGGCTGGGAAGGACACCTGATTTTTGTGGGTCAGCTACAAAGGGATGACCTTTAGCCTCTTTTGCACTGTCATAATCCCAAGGTCCCCCAACCTGAGGTTGAGAATACCTTTTTTGCTTTGGTTTCTTCTTTTTTTTCTTCATCACTATTGCTGTGCTTTCTACATCCCAGGCTTCCCTGCCAAGATCCCTCTGGGGTTCAAGGAAGTCAACATGAATAGTTTTCCTTTGGTTTCCAGGCTCACCACAGGAAACTGAACCAGAGACCCAACCCGTCTCAGACAAAGAGGAGGGGCCCAGCCCAGGATCAAGAGTCTTCCGTGAAGAGCCTCCCAGAAGTTCAGGAGGGACCCTGGTAGGCCTGGGCCGGGCGGCCCTGCGGTCACTGGGTCTGCACACTTGTTTGGCTTGTGTGGGAAGGGTACCTGCAATACAGGAAGGTGGCCAAGATTCCAAACAGAAAACTCCTTGTTATTGTTTTTTTTAAAAAGTCCATTTAGTGACTCATTTAAGTAGCCTATTTTCACCAACCCACATACTAATTCATTTAGGAAACTCTTTTTCTGAAACATTCTCACCCTTAACTGGGAATAGCAAATATTTAGCAAAGATAATCATCTTAAGTAAAGATTTTTTCAAGCATAATTACAAAGTATTTAAAACTGAAGAAAAGAAATTCAGAGATTTTCTAACCCCTATAATAGGCACTTATTGCCTATAAATCTCACCTGATATTTGTTTATATTTATCCTCATTTATACTAGGTAAACAAGTCCCAATTCTGCAATAAAATGGTAAGCTCCTATCTCTTTTTGGTGACATTTATTAATTAAATGAAATACATATGATCTACATTTATAATTCTAGGAGTCTGTCACCAATATTATACTAGTTAGTTATCCAATTAATCAGATAAATTCTGGGAAACAGAGGCCAGACTTATGCTACTAAAAAAAAAAAAAAAAAAAAAAAAAGGGGAAGAAGAAGAAAGGAAAAGAAAAAAGATACTGAATTAGTATTTTGGCCAGAGAAAAATTTTCATCATTCCAAAACAAGAGCCTCCTACTTAAAAAGACAAGTGTGTTAGATTTCAATGTTCTGTTCCTAAATGTACTTCCCTAAAAACAGAGAAATCTACATAATGCCAAGTAGGATAATGAATTAAAACAATTGGGATAAACACCCTTGGAAAAGTTTCAGGAAGTCCACTGGTTCAACCACCTGCTCCAAGTCAATGCTGCATGGATCCAAGATCCTGGAAAGAGTCCATTAAGAGCAGGTTTAGGGCAGCTCTTGTCAAGTCTGACCCAATGAAATGACTTTAGAGAATATTAAAATACTTAAACAGTATCTTTTGTTTTTGTTTGTACCCCTCCAAAGTCCTCCAAATCCTACCCTTTATTTAATACCTCAGGTCAATTATCACTTCTCTCAAAATATTGCTAGGCTTTCGCACCCGACAGCATTTATAACATTTAATTTGGCAATTAATCAGTAGCTATTTGGTACATCTCTTATATTATTTAATTCAATTATATAAATCGTTGGTTTCCGAGTTCATGCCTGGGAACTTCTCTTGCCATCCAGGCTATGATATAATAACATAAGGGCAAGGACCCAGATTTAAATATCTATGTGCCTTAGCATAGTGTATTTTGTCCACAATAGAAACTTAATAAATCTTTATTGATATGCTGAGTCACTAAAACAACATTAAAAAAAAAAACTCTAAGCATTTATTTTGGCTTCTTGGTGCTAGCTTCTTCAGTGTGCAAAGCACTAGAGACAGTAAGTGAAGTAAGTCATGGTCCGTGTCCTCCAGTTCACATTCTAATCAGTCACAGAAAAGTAAGCAGAGAATCAAGTTGATAATCACATGTACGTTTCTGCCTTACAATAAAAAACATGCAATCTTAAAGTTCATTGAATAATCAAACTTTAAGTTAGAAAGTTCCTGAGAGGAGTCCCTCTCAAAGTTTAATGTACACTAGAATTATCTGGAAAACTCGTGAAAATGCATATTGTGATTCTGAAAGTCTGAGGTGGAGCCCGAGATCAAGTATTTCTGACAAGCTTCCAAGCAATGCTGTGCTGCTGAGCTGACACGCTGTAACTAGGCAGGGTTTTCAGAACAATGGATCAGTAGAGTCCTCTTACAGCTGAGTAAACTGAGGAAAGTTAAATAATCTGCCTAAGACCACATGGGATAGAATGGTGAACAGCTTGATCCAGATTAAAATTTAGGTGTCCTGAGTTGGCATAGTGATCACTTAAAAGTATGTAACAAGCTGACTTTCTGCCAAAACAAGGTAAAATCTGTCTAAGAAAGAGAAACGACCTCCTAAACGCTGCAACTGATTACCACCATCACCCCACCACTCCCAGGTTCAGTGGTTCCAAAGAGTCTACTTCATTTTCCTAACTTACCTGAGGTCTCTGAAGAAAGCTCAGAAGGTTGACTACTGAATGGTTTCTTTTGCTCTAGTTTCTCTAACACAGATGCCTCATCTGTTGGCAAGTTGAACTTTTGGGCCGTGGCTGTGACTGGTTCTAAAGGTAACAGTAAAAACCACACAGATTTCAGAGAATCATGATTTCAGCTATTTTTCCACCTTCCAGAAATTGGGGACGGGAATAGGGTCTGAGGAATGAGGGATGCTTCTGTTAGGGCAGCTGAAAAGTGGACTGGTAGTGGGAAGGTAGAGTTGGAAGGGCTTTTGTTTGTTAGTAAGATGGGAAAAATAAATGTTTGCATGTTGGTGGAAGTTACTATAAAAACGTTACTGGTTGGATCCCCAGTCAGGGCATGTACGGGAGGCAATAAATTGATGTTTCTCTCACATTGATGTTTTCCTCTCTCTTTCTCTCTCTCAAATTAAAAAAAAAAAAAAAATCAATAGAAACATATCCTTGGGTGAGGATTAAAATTTTAAAAATGTCTGGCCGGTTGTGGCTCAGCGAATTGAGCATCGCCCCATGCACCAAGAGGTCACTGGTTCGATTCCCAGTCAGGGGCATGCTGGAGGCAGACCATGGATGTGTCTCTCTCCCTCTTCCTTCCTTTCTATCTAAAAATCAATTAAAAACATATTTTTTTAAAATAAAGAAAGAAAGGAGAGGAAGGCCAGAGCAATATGCTTAAGTAGGCAAGAAGAGATGGGTTCTAGTACAAAATAGAGAGGTGGCCTTAATCGGAAGCAGGGACGTTTACTTCCAGCAACAGGAGGGGCAGAGTCTCTGGATACAGACACAAGTAGTTAGGTAGGTGAGGGAGTAGAGGTTGTGAATGTCCTCTTTGCTTACTGATCTATAAGAAAAACAGGAAGATCAACAGGCAGTAAGGATGAAGAAGGTGTTGGAGGAGGGTGAAGGTGAGACGTAATTGTCTGGCAGCAAGAGTGTGTACAGATTTGCAAATACTGTCTTTATTTTACCTGGCATGATGCTTGTCCCTTGCCCTTCTGCAGACTACACCCTGGTAGACAGAAATACTAAGATTGAATGTAAGTCCATACCTGGTGAAATCATGGAAGTAGGTGAAGCTGAATGCCCCTCATTCTGGAGAGATTCTAACTGGGAATCCTCATGTATTTCTCCCTGTGTCCGTACAACTTCCATGTCCTTAACTGGAACTGGTGCCACCTCTGTTTCTGAGGGTGGTACAACATCCTTAGCCAGGGAGATCTCTGTTTCTGCAGGCAGAGCCATATCCTTGCCCAGGGTCATCTCTGTTTTGGGGGATAAAGCCATGTCCTTGACCAGGGCCACCTCTGTTTCTGGGGTGGGAGCCATGTCCTTGACCAGGGCCACCTCTGTTTCTGGGGCAGGAGCCATGTCCTTGACCAGGGCCACCTCTGTTTCTGGGGCGGGAGCCATGTCCTTGACAAGGGCCACCTCTGTATCTGGGGCTGGAGCCATGTCCTTGAACAGGGCCACCTCTGTTTCTGCGGGTGGAGTCACATCCTTGCCCAGGGACATCTCTATTTCTGGAGGTGGAGTCACATCCTTGCCCAGGGACATCTCTATTTCTGGATATGGAGCCATGTCCTTGACTGGGGCCACCTCTGTTTCTGAGGACAAGGCCAACTTCTTGGCTGAGGATATTTCTGTGGATGATACAACGTCCTTAGCCAGTGCCATCTCCATTTCTGAGAGTGATACCATGCCTTCAGCTGGGGCCAAATCCATTTTTATCAGTGGTGCCCTTTCTGTTTCTTTGAATAGTATTCCATCCTTGCCTGGGGTTTCCTCTGCTTCTATAGGTAGTACCATGTCCTTGACTACAGCCGTATCTGATTCAATGGATGATTCCATGTCCTTGGCAAATGACACATCTTCTTTGGTAGGTGGTTCCATGTCTTTGGTCAGCACCACCTCTGTTTCTGTGATTGGTGTCATGTTCTTAGTCAGAGCCATCTCTGTTTCTCTAGATGGTGCCATGTCAGCAGCATTCAGTCCCATCATTTCCAATGCTTTTGTTGATGCCCTCTCTTCAGCTGATGCCATTTCTACCTCTTTGGCTGGCACTAAGGGAAATACATTGGAAATTTAGGACCCATCATTGTCTGCTCGTAGCTCTGCAGTCAAAACTTACTTTCTTAGGGCACAGGAATATCTGGCTTTTGTGACCTTAATATCCAAAACATAACTAAGATGCTATCCAGTTAATACATTTGTGCCTACTCTGACAGTCCCAACGTTTAAAGAATAGGATACTAGGAGAAAAAATGGTGGAGGAGAAAAAGCAAAGAAGAGAAGAAAACCCAAGGTTTAAAACAACAACAACATAGGTACACAATTAGTGTCAGAAATAGAATGTGGAACCCTAGAATTTTAAATCTGCACCAAATTAAAAAAGATTTTCTTTGCCCACTAACCCCAAGTCTTATATCTCAACTACAACTTAATTCCTCTATCTGTGAAATCAGTAATATAAGTTTAAAAATATTTGTGATTATTCTGACATTTTTATTTATATTGCTGCATGGTGCTAAAAAAATACATCTGATGATTTATATTGATTATTGATACTGTACCCAAAAACCGATAAAGAGGGGTTCTAATAATTTACCTGCTGTGGACTGCGGAGGTTGTGTGGCTTCCGGGGAAATGAAGACCCCGGCGTGGGGAGAGTTTGAGGCTTCCACTTGCCAGCTTTGAGGTACAACTGCTACAGGAGCAAATGTGTCACAGGGAAGCAGACCTAATATTGTAACACAAACAAACACATGTTTAAAACTCGGTCAACAATGGGAAAAAAAGGTATTTGATATTTAAAATCAGCTTTATATACTGCCATAAATATGTAAACCTAAGAACCAATGAAAAACAAAACCCAAACCCTAGCCGGTTTGGCTCAGCGGTCAGAGTGTTGGTCCTCGGACACAAGGGTCACAAGTTTGATTTGGTAAAGGGCATGTATCAAGGTTACAGGTTCGATCCCCAATCCTGGTTGGGGTCGTTCAGGAGGCAACCAATGGATGTGTCTCTAACGTTGCTGTTTCTCTCTCCCCACCTCCCACTCCCTCTCTGTTTCTCTCTTTCCTTCCTTCCCTCCCTCTCTTCCTCCCACTCTCACTAAAAATCAATGGAAAAATATCTGTGGGTGAGGATTAAGAAAAAAAGCTCTCTGATTTCTACCTAAAGGCAGGCTATATATTCTCCTTTCACTAGAGAGTAAATTCTTACCAGCCCAGAGAGGGCATGAGAGCAATCTGCAAACAAATCCATTAATTCCCTCTCATATATTTACCTCCCCTGGTTGCCACCCTTAGAAGCCTAAAATTGCTTTCCTTTGTCCTGTCATTTCTCTACAAATTTATTGTTTTTGGTTAAAGATGCTACATAAACAGAAATTCTAAGCAACAAGCAACCACCTTGAGTTACGTTTTTCCTGTGTGAAGTATGCTACATGCATTAATAAACTATTCTTTTCTTGTTAATCTGTCTTTTTGTTTAAAAATCCAGATGAAAACCTAAAATGAGTAGAAGTAAAATTTTGTTTAAAAGTTATACAACACCAGCCCTGGCCAGTTTGGCTCAGCAGTTAGAGCATCGACCCACAGACCAATGAGTCTCAGGTTCGATTCCGGTCAAGGGCATGTACCTTGGTTGCGGTTCGTCCCCAGCTCTGGATGGGTCCTGCAGGAGGCAACCAGTCAATGTGGCTCTATCACATCGATGTTTTTCTCTGTCTCCCTCTCTCCCTCTCTCCCTCCCACTCAATCTGATGATAAATAGAAAAATATCCTCGGGTGAGGAATAAAAAAAAAATATACACCACCATAAATGAGGATACTACTAATTGATAACTAAGAGCTGTTTAATGCTTACTATGCAACAAACACTATGCAAAGTACTTTTACATAATTTTATTTAATCATCACCTCATCTTTAAGCAGGAACTACTGATGGCCCCATTTTATAGATAAAAGAAACTAAAGTTTAGGGAGGACAAAACTTGTCCAAAGCCATGAATGAGGTAGTAAAATGTGGAGACAGAATCTGACCCTAGGATATAGGATTCAAGATCCCATCACAGTAGGTGAGCAGCCCAGAAAACTCAACTAAATTCCCTCCTGTGACTGATCTAGAAAGTGCCCTGTCCCAGCCAGAAACCCTAAAACATGACTGCCTAGCAGTTAACTTCAAAGGTGATAGGGTAAAGGCCATAATTAATTGTCTGAAGTTAAGCAATAAATCCAGTTGGAGAAGTCATACCATAACTGTCTTTCAGGGGATCATTTTGTTGTGTAAATGCTGAAGCATTGGTTGTTCCACTGGGGAAAAACAGCAAATCTTGCAGACTATCATCGCAGTGCATCTTAAAGGGATCTGGAATAAAGAAGGGATTTAAAACTCAACTTCAGTGAATATGACTACAAAGACAGCATTTTGTATTACCCTATAATGAATACTAATTAGTTAGCGTGTGTTGTCAACAGTAAGTTAAATTGAGATAATGTCACTGTACATGATAAGAAACCAGTAATATTCACTAATTTGAAACCAGCTGCATCCCTTATAAGTTCAATGGCAAAAAAAAAGCCATATAAGTGGAAACAAATAACTTGAGCTCTCAGCCTTGTTAACTCTGACATGGAGGCACTGAGGCTACTGCTTTGAGGCCCTTCTGCAATCCATTCTTCCTACCACTTCCACTCGGTTATGCTTTTTGTCTCCATAGATTAAATTTTATAGAAAGTGGGTATGAGTCTTGCTTTTCTCTTCTGTCAAATGAATATAATATATATTTGGCAGAGTTAGGTGAGAAACACATATATAAAAAGGCTGTAGCATTATGCCTGGCACAGTGTACAGATGATGTGTTGTGTAATTGTGCACCAGAGACCTATATAATTTTGTTAACCAGTGTCACTCAATAGATTAAATAAAAAGTAAAAACAAAAACAAATGGTGCTATTATTACTGTAATAATTCCTTTTGAAAGTTCAATGAATATGAATTTCAGTTAACTTATTAAAAACAGGTTTTGAAGGGGAAAGAACCAGGACATGTGCCTAAGAAGAGATAAACAAAGAGGAGTAAGGGTCACCTAAATGTTCAGGGGTTAATAATTATACCTTGATTGTGCTTTATGAGCTGTATTTAGGCTAAAATATTTCATCTGAGTGGTGGTTGTGCTTTTTTTCATGTTGACATCATAGTTCACATTCAGCAGTCAGTCACAGGCCACCTCTGTACTTCTGTCACAGGCCAGCCTGCACTTACCAGTCTGGACAGGATTCATCATTTGTTCAGGTTCAAAGCAAAAGTTCGTATTCTCTGGCCAGTTCTGGTTGTTCTGATATCCCTGGTAGGCCATTTTCTCTTCAAGGAATTCAGTCGGAAACCCTGCAAATAGAAACATGAAACAAAAGTTACAAAGTACCACTGTTTCCCCCTCCACTAGAGTTGAGTTTCTGTAAGTATTACAGCTAGTACAATATAAGGCAATCATACATGCTAGTGCCTTTGACAAAAACTTTTTTAAAAAATTTGTAAGACAGAAGGATAAGATCAGTATAAGGTTAAAAATAGTGCAAGACGACTTCTGGTTATGAATGCATGAAAAAGTGATTTTTTAAAAAAATCCTCACTTGAGGACATTTTTGCATTTATCTTCAGATAGAGCAGGAGGGAGAGAAACATCGAGTGGTTGCCACCCATACCACACCACAGGGGCCAGGGACAAACTGCAACCAAGGCACATGACCTTAGCGGGAACTGAACCCGGGACTCTCTGGTCCCCAGGCCGACGCTCTAACCGTTGAGCCAAACTGGCCAGGGCTAAAGTTAGTGATTTTTATGCACAAAAGAACAAGTATAAAAACTGGACAAAATTGTCAAAAACATCATTTCAAGTCACAGGGAAAAAAAAAAAGCCCTGGCCAGTTTGGCTCAGCGGTTAGAGCATCAGCCCACGGTCCAGAGAGACCTGGGTTCAGTTCCCGCTAAGGGCATGTACCTCTGTTGCAGTTTGTCCCCAGCCTGGGATGGAGTCGTGTAGGTAGCAGCCACTCGATGTGTCTCTCTCACATTGATGTTTCTCTCTCTCTCTCTTCTTCCCCCTCTCCCTCCCGCTCTATCTGAATATAAATGTAAAAATGTCCTCGGGTAAGGATAAAAACAAAACAAAACAAACAAACAAAAAAAACCCAGATCTAAATAAATGGAGAGATATATCATATTCATGAATGGAAGACTGAATAGTTTTAAGATGACAATTCTCAAACTGACCAATAGAGGAAAGGCAATTACAATGAATAATCCAAGCAGGATTTTTTTTTTTTAATCCTCACCCAAGGACACTCCTTCCATTTTTTGTTCAGATAGAGAGGGAGTGAGAGAGAGAGAGAAACATCGATGTGAAAGGGACACATCGAGTGGCTGCCAACCGCTGGACCCAATCAGGGCCGGGGACAAACTACAACCGAGGCATGTGCCCCTAGCAGGAACTGAACCTGGATCTCTATGGACTGCGGGCTGACACTCTAACCGCTGAGCAAAACTGGCCAGGGCCCGAGCAGGATTTTTTGAAAAAATCAACAGCATTCCATGATTTATAAGAAAATTAAAAAACAAAAAAACAAAAAAAAAAGAGAAAAGCCAAAATAATTTGAAGAACAGCAAATTGGAGGACCTACATGACCTGATTTAAAAAGTTACTATAGCCCTGCCCGGTTTGGCTCAGCGGTTAGAGCATCGGCCTGCGGTCCGGAGAGACCCAGGTTCGGTTTCCGCTAAGGGCACGTACTTCGGTCGCAGTTTGACCCCGGCCCTGGTTGGTCGTGCGGTGGCAGCCACTCGATGTGTCCCTTTCACATCGATGTTTCTCTTTCTCTGTCTCTTCCTCTCTCTCCCTCCCACTCTATCTGTACAAAAAATGGAAAAATGTCCTCGGGTGAGGATAAAAAATAAAAAAATAAAATAAAAAGTTACTATAAATGTACAAAAACCAAATCTGTGTGGTACAGACCACACATTAGATAAATGGAATACAACAGAGTTCAGAAAGAAACCTACACGGTTATAGTCAACTAGTTTTTAGCAAAGATGCCAACGTAATTCAATGGGGGAAAGGATACTTTTTTTTTCAAAAAATAGTACAGAAACAATTGGACACTTACCTCACACTATCAACAAAAACTAACTCCAAGTGAATTACAGACCTAAATGTAAAGGGCTAAAACTAAAAATACTTAAGAGGAGAAAAATCTTGGGTTATGCGAAGATTTCTTAGACATGTCACCAAAAACACAATCCATAAAAGAAATGATAAACTGGGCATCAAATTTTTAAAACTTTTGCTTTTCAATAATACCATTAAGAAAAAAACAGTCTCTGGCCAGTTTTCTCAGTGGCATTGGCCTGTGGACCAGAGTACTGGTTTGGTTCCCGCTAAAGGCACATGCCTCAGTTGTGGTTCGTCCTCAGCCTCAGTTGGGGCTGTGGGGGTGGCAACCCGTAATGTGTCTCTCTCGCATGATGTTTCTCTCTCTCTCTCTCTTCTTCCCTCTCTCCCTCCTGCTCTGTCTGAAGATAAATGCAGAAATGTCCTCGGATGAGGATTAAAAAAAAAAAGAAAGAAAAGGAAAACAGAAGTCAAAGACTGGGAGAAAATATCTGCAAATCATAAATCTAATAATAAAGGACCTGTATGCATAAGAGATTAAAATCTCTTACAACACAATTATAATTACAATGTACATTAGACAAGTTTTAACAAGTTCATTTATCACATTAAAAACAGTATTTATATATAACTTAAATATTGGTACATATAGTGTTTGTTCAAAACTGTGTTTGGGCATTTAATATGGGGGAAATAGCTATTTCAATCTAACATTTTGTTTAGTTTCATTTATACTTGCAATGAATTGTGTGTACAGTTTTTATTTTGTTTCCCTATATTTTGTTTGTTCTGATTATATTTACTATTCTTTGTCTGTTGAATCTAATAATAAAAAAAAACCCTGAGACTTGGAAAAAAGAAATCTCTTACACAATTATAAGACAACGTAACTTTAGCCGTGGCCGGTATGGTTCAGAGGAAAGAGTGTTGCCCATGGACCAAAGAATTTTGATTCCGGCCAAGGGCATGTACCTCGGTTGCGATTCATCCCTGGCCCCAGTTGGGGTTGTGCGGTTAGCAATCAATCAATGTCTCTCTCTCTCTCTCCCTCATCCTCCCTCTCTCCTTCCAGTTCTATCAGAAGATTAATGTAAAAATATCCTCGGGTGAAGATTAAAAATAAGAAAACAAAAAAAGGGACAATTTTTTAATGAGAAAGGATTCCAATGACCATTTTCACCAAAGAAACTATACAAATGGGTAATATGCATATGAAAAAAAGTTAATCAGCATTAGCTGTTAGGGAAAAGCAAATTAAAATACCTATGAGAGGCCTTGGCTGGGTACTCAGTGGGTTAGAGCATCATCCCAATAGGCCAAGGTTGAGAGTTCGATTTCTGGTCAGAGCACATACAAGAAGCAACCAATGAATGCATAAAACAAGTGGAACAACAAAATTGAAGTTTCCCTCCCTCCCTCTTTCTCTCCCCGCCCTCTTCCTCTTTCTCTCTCTAAAATCAATTTTTTTTTTTTTTTATCCTCACCTGAGGACATTTTTCTATTTTTTGTTCAGGTAGAGTGGGAGGGAGAGAGAGGAACAGAGAGAGAGAGAGAAACATCGATATGAAAGGAACACATCGAGTGGCTGCCACCCACACGACCGACCAGGGCCGGGGACAAACTGCAACCGAGGTACATGCCCTTAGCGGGAACCGAACCCGGGTCTCTCTGGACCACAGGCCGACGCTCTAACCGCTGAGCCAAACCGGCCAGGGCTAAAATCAATTTTTAAAAAATCCCTATGAGATACCACTACAGCTAATCTCCAGGCAAACTGGGAAGAGAAGTAGCAGGACTGTCCCATCTTTATGATTAGTCCATTCATCAAGCTGCCTCTAGAAGTAAACTTTCCCCTTCAAGGTTGCCCTTTATTTTCGTGGAACCCTTTAAATCGGATTTCACCTACATGAAATGATATAGGGGAACAGAAGAGAAGAAGAATGAAACATAATAATTTATCCAAGAAATGCACTCCTTAAGGTACATCTGAGAGAACCTTAGATATCTGAGGTTTATTTTAAAAAATTTTACCAAAATTACCACAAAGTCATTATTCTGGACTGGATAATTTAAAATAATAAATTCACACTAGCCCTGGCATGTTTGGCTCAGCAGTTAAGAGCCCCGGACTGTGGACCAGAGAGTCCTGGGTTCCGTTCCCGCTAAGGGCATGTATTTCAGTTGCAGTCTGTCCCGGGCCCCGGTTGGGTTTGTGTGGGTGGCAACCAGTGGATGTGTTTCTCGCATCAATGTTTCTCTCTCTCTCTTCCCCCGTCTCTCCCTCCAGCTCCATATGAAGATAAATGCAAAAATGTCCTCAGGTGAGGAAAATAAATAAATAAATAAATAAATTCACACTATATACCAAAATTCTTGGAAAATGATTTACATTTAGTATAAAAATCATTAGGAATCCCCCAAAATTCAAACAATAACCTATCATTGCTTTTTTGTTTGTTTCTGATAAAGCTTTTTTTTTATTATAATTATGATTATTATTTTTTTTTATCCTCACCCGAGGACATTTTCCCATTTTTTTGTTCAGGTAGAGTGGGAGGGAGAGAGAGGAACAGAGAGAGAGAGAGAGAGAGAGAGACAAACATCGACGTGAAAGGGACACATCGAGTGGCTGCCACCCGCATGACCGACCAGGGCCAGGGACAAACTGCAACCGAGGTACATGCCCTTAGCGGGAACCAAACCCGGGTCTCTCCGGACCGCAGGCAGACGCTCTAACCGCTGAGCCAAACCGGCCAGGGCCAGATGTCCCTCCTTTTGCACCCTTTGGCACTCTCCTCCCTGCTCCTGCCCGCCCCCCCATTGTCATCTGTGTCCATTGGTTATGTATATAAGTTCTTCGGTTTATCTCTTCCCCACCCCCACTCCCTTCCCTCTGAGTTTTGTCAATCTGTTCCCTACTTCCACCTCTCTGAATCTATTTTGTACATTATGTTCCACAAATAAGTGAGATTATGTGAAATTTTTGTCTTTCTCTGATTGGCTTGTTTTGCTTAGCATAATACTCTTCAGGTCCCTCTTTCTTTCTTACAGCTATATAGTATTCCATTGTTTATATATGTACCAAAGCTTCTTTTTTTTAATCCTCACCTAAGGACATTTTTGCATTTATCTTCAGATAGAGCAGGAGGGAGAAAGGGAGGGAGAAAGAGAGAGAAAAATTGATATGAGAGAGACACATCCAGTGGCTGCCATCCACACA